ATCTTTTGACCCATAGAATCACGTGACATTAAGGTCAGTCAGCTTTGTTTTCGGGAGAAGGGGTGGGCGTCGTGTATAAGATTTATCCTGTGTTTAGTTTCATTTATATATCGTGAAAGATAAGCGATTCACTGTGTAATGTTTGCACAATAATTTATTAACTCGGTGAAAACAGACAAGCAAGAAGAAATGATTTTCACTGTTGGAAAATATCTCATAGAAGTGACAACTAGTAGCATTTCAGAATATCAAAAAAATATATACATTGTTTTATAAATAGTATTTGTTTCGTAAAATATGGAAACTTGTAATAAAACCTCCCTTTCATAAGCAAAGTATTATTTGCTACGTAAGAGAAATCCCCCCCTTTTTCTTGTGGAAATCATTCATATTAAAAATGACATTCAAAATTCTTTCACCACAGAAAAACAAATAAGCTTTTTAGTTTGAATACCTTAAAGTCTAAGTCAAGCTTTACATCTAAACTCTATGCATACTATCTAACTGAAAAGAATTTGCTGAATTCTAAAATTGGCGAAAAGCTTATACGCTTTAAAAAAATTATCAAACTTTATGTGTATAGATAAAAACTTTATTTACAAAAAAAACTTTATTTGTACATTTTGCATCATTTATATTACTGACATAGAGGTAGCTGGCTGAGGATGGACAAAACTTAACCTAAACTTACGTCATGAATAATGGTAAAAAACTCTTATTAAGATAGCATATTGAGCGTAAAAAAAAACTTAAAAAAAAGAGTGAGAAAAGATGAAAGAACCCACGAAGAATAACCTTACTGCACAATACTAAGAATTTAAGTAGTACAAGCATTTCAAATGGGAAAAAGATATAGAGAGATAGAGGGTCATGCGTCCGAGCAAGGACAAAACAACTGAAAAATAAGGCACTCACCTCTGGAATTCATTATAATATTCATTAAAAATAAATATTTTTATATTTCATTAAATAGTAATATTTAAGTGAAAGTGAAACCTGGACAATGACCAAAAATGATGAAAATTACTTGTTGGTGTGAACGAAAGGTCCTGAGGCGAATAATAGGACCTATTAATGGAGGCGAATGGAGAATAAGGTCGAACATAGAAATTGAGAAAATCTAAACAGAAAAAAAAATATTGTACACTTTATTATATCCCAGCGTCTTTCATGGCTTGGACACATAGAGATGAGAGACAATAATTATGGCTTGAAAAAGATCATCAACTGGACACCTATGGGAACCAGGTCCAGAAGCCACCCAAAGAAAAGGTGGAAGAACGACGCTATTGAGGAGCTGGTAATAATGAAGATCCGTGGATGGAGGGAGAAGTCAAAACAGATTGCTGTATGAAATAGAATTGTGAAACACGTCAAGACCCATAAAGGGCTGTAGAGCTATAGAGGAAGAAGTAATGATAAAGTCGCTCTATTTAAACATTTTTTTACTTTTTTTCTTATATGAGCAATCACTGAAATTCACATTTATTGAGGGCAGATAAACGAAACAATTCAATTTATTGTTTTTCATTGTAATTTTTTTTAAAAAAAAACAGAAAAAAATATTTTTTTAAGAACTATTTACTATTTCTTTATTTTGATAAACTTACTTTTTGTAATGTTCAAAATATTTGCAGCTGCCAATTACAATAAAAAATTAGAATGTGATAAAATGCATAATACTTTATATTTGTCGCACTACTGCATAAATTCAAATAACCCCAGCTGGGCTTAAACTTGTGAGAGTTAGTGTAGTAAAGATATAGAAAATGTTCCATGAAATACATATTTATGTTTTGCTATATAATTGCATCGATTCAAAATATAACAAATCAGTTTCAAAACTTTATCACGAGGTAACAGTCGAAATTTGTGATTCTCAACAAAACAGCTTATGAATTTAAATAAAACAGCTTTCTCTCAATGTCAGTACATTTTCACAGAAACAAACTGAATAAAGCTACTACTTACTTCTGAATGGATTTGTTTTAAATGTATTCTTAAAGCCTAATTAATTATAAAAAAAGAAGAAGAAAAAACTGGAAATGGTGTGCTTTAAAGTTAAATTTTAATCATCCAATGAAGCACAATATATGTCTCTCAGTTATATTTTAACCAAAAAGGAGGGGAAAAAACGCATTTGTAATAATTGCTCTAAATGCAATTTCTGATATGGAAGAGAGTAAATTAAGAGGAAGAAGAAATTATTTCAAAAACATACGTGTTGTTTTAGAACTTGTTGGTTAGTATTCATTCAGTAATTAGTTAGAGCGCGTTATCATTTAGCAGTAATATTTTCAGTTTGCTGGTTTAGAAATAAACTAATTCAACTCACAAACGCAACACGAGAATCGCTAGCACGCACAAGAGGAAAAAAAAAATCTTAAATGAAAGATATGCTAGAAAAAAAAAGAATTAAATTAGAATACAAAAAAAATTGTTTTTACTCCGTTGACGTTCCACCCACTTCACCTGACTGATGAATATTAGGGTGTATCATCCCATATCAAATGACGCTTATTTCCTCGTTTATTTCGGGATTAATTATTTAAGAGGCGTTGAGGTGTTTAAGCAAACAACATTCAGAAATAACAATTAAATATATACCAATTCGATTCAGAGTTATAGACATTCATGTTTTCTTCAATCTGAAGAGGAAGTCAGCCTCCCTAACTCAAACAGTTTGTCAAAGGTGGGACACGACACAAGAAGAGGAATTAATATACAAGGAGGAGGGGGAAAACGCGATTTTTTTTTCTTCTTTTCTTTATAGACTTTTAAAGAAACGGAGAAAGAAAGGTTGCGAAGGGGGGAAAGCAATCTAACAATTTCTGTCTTTGGCGGCTTTTTAACATTGTACACTTCCAATGCAGCAGGGGTCATTTGGTCATGCTTTTATTGCAGTTCAATGGTCGGTTACTAAGGTGCTGTTAAGAAATTACATTTGAGGTTGTCGTCACGTTAATTTACCCTCACATTAGAGCGCAAGCACGTACCGGAAGGTTCTTTTATTTTGTCCTCACCTGACGCATGTATTTCTCGCCTAATTCTAAATTACATTTAATAATTATAGAAATGGAATTAATATTTGTAATTCCTGTGAGCAATGCGTCAAATTTGTATCATTTTGCGTAAAATATTAGAGATTATAACCTTTTGAAGCAGATTTTTTTTTAAGCATAATTTTCATACTTTTTTCCTTATTTTGTATTAATTTAGTTCAAACTAAAAGTAATATATTATATCTAACATTTTAATAATTAATAGTTATGAAATACAGTATGAAACACCGGAGATTTTTTTTTTCGGCGTTAAAGGTATAATCTTCCAAAAAGGCTCACTTCCAAACAATTTCTTATCTTTGCAGGCACCTATTTACAATTAGTTAGATCGAAGAGAATCAGTTACTTTGTATTTCTTTAATTTACAAAATCAATTGCTGATAAATTTTTAAAAAAATTTGGCTTCAAACTACCTTTAATAGTTATGAAATACAGTATGAAACACCGGAGATTTTCTTTTTCTGCGTCAAAGGTATAATCTTCCAAAAAGGCTCACTTGCAAAAAATTTTTTATCTTTGCAGGCACCTATTTACAATTAGCTAGATCGAAGAGAATCAGTTACTTTGTATTTCTTTAATTTACAAAATCAATTGCTGATAAATTTTTAAAAAAATTTGGCTTCAAACTACCTTTAATAGTTATGAAATACAGTATGAAACACCGGAGATTTTCTTTTTCTGCGTCAAAGGTATAATCTTCCAAAAAGGCTCACTTGCAAAAAATTTTTTATCTTTGCAGGCACCTATTTACAATTAGCTAGATCGAAGAGAATCAGTTACTTTGTATTTCTTTAATTTACAAAATCAATTGCTGATAAATTTTTAAAAAAATTTGGCTTCAAACTACCTTTAATAGTTATGAAATACAGTATGAAACACCGGAGATTTTCTTTTTCTGCGTCAAAGGTATAATCTTCCAAAAAGGCTCACTTGCAAAAAATTTTTTATCTTTGCAGGCACCTATTTACAATTAGCTAGATCGAAGAGAATCAGTTACTTTGTATTTCTTTAATTTACAAAATCAATTGCTGATAAATTTTTAAAAAAATTATAAAAAAAAAATGGTTTCAAACTACCTTTTTTGAATTTTACATTTTAGTACAAATATAATTCTGATAACTTTTTTAGTAATTATAAGAAGTTTTCTTACATTAAGAAAATACCAAAATGTATTTTTGTAATTAGAGCGAAAATAATATATATATACATGTATGTAAACGATACCATTGCTTCATCTGCAACAAAGGATTAATTTAAAAGTTTAATAATGAGGCAATAGATTTTAAAATCAGTTAAATCTAATTTCTTTTTTGTTGGAAATTATTATTACTATTTTTAAAAAAAAATGTTGAAGGGTAATTCATTAATGTTCGTGAACAATTTTTGAAAGAAAATTCTATATATTAACAATCTAAAAGTCATTTGAAAAATTATTTAAAAATTATTTTTTCAATACTTTTACTTTAACGTGGAAGTTAAAAAGCTGGAAAACGCATGTTAAATAATAATAATAAATAAATAAAATTTTTGTGGAAAAACATTAAATGTTTCAAATGTGAAGCATTTTTTCTTAAATCATTTTTATATATTTAATATTTCTAATGAATTTTGCGACGAACATCATTGGAAACAAAGTTAGTCTTAGATGAGAGCATTGCATGATTTTCTTAATTAAAAATGATACTGAATTTATCCCTGGTTTTCTCATTCTAATGAGAAAAAATTTACAAAAAAATTTGTTACCATCCCTTTGTTCTAATTTGTAAGTGTTCAGGAGAGATGCTTATTTGTAATACACTTCTTTATTTGTAAATGTTCAGAAGAGGGTACCTATCTTATTTATCTAAGCAGTAATAGTACTGCTACTGCTAACACTTCACTATTTCAACAATTAAAATGTAACGTATGATAATAAATTTTTGAAACAGTAAATCTTACCTCTTTTTTGCATATAATTGAATAGATCATCTAGAAACTCTTTCCTTCCAGGATCATCGCTGATTTCATATAACTGCAGAAAAATAAAACAATAAATTACAAATGGGGAAAGAACAAAAGGAAAGTAGAGGGTACTCCGCAAAGAGCATCATTAATGTATAATTTTAGAATAATGGTAAAAAATGTATACATATTGTATCGCTCACAAATTAATATTTGAGTAAGGGAAGAAAAAAGATTATGAAAGCCTACAAATCACTAGAAATATGATGTAAAAAAAATCGAAGCCAGTTTGATTGTCCGATAAAATTCAAAATCCTTCAATTAGTTTATTTCAAAAATACTTATCAAAACTGTAAAAAAAGAAGAAGAAAAATTGCCTGCGTTTTCGATCATGGTTGAAAAACTTTCTATCGCTCCAACTTTCGAACTAATTCGTTTTCAGGTAATTGGTAACCTAAATGTATGCACAATTGACACAAACTTTGGCACTATTGCCGACTATCTCCATCAGTTCCATTTTACAAAAATACCCTTAATATCTTGAAGCACCGGATAGCAGCAAAATATTTTTACAATGAATAGTAAATTTAACTTTGAATATTAGTTGCCTTAAAAATCAAGACTTTTACTAAAGCTGTTACAAGTATAATTATGATTTTTTTTTCCTTCTAAAATATCGAAAAGCGACTTGTATTACTTGAAAAACAAACATGAATTGTAAGAAGACTGCATTACCATTTCTTCTTTCTAAACATCTTTTTAAATAACCATGAATACTAAAAACTTTAGAAAGAAGCTTAATTGAAGGAAATTTAAAAATTTAACAAAAATTCTGATTTTAAGAGACATTTTCGTTGCCCGTTTCTTTCCATTTCATTTGTCTTCTTATAATAAATACAGAAAACAAGCAAATATAGAAGTTTCTAATTAAGGAATCAGTTTTCGTTTAATTGTTCTACCGTAAAATGTTCGGTTTTGTGCTGGGCTACCAGAGCAGTGAAGCCACTCCCTCCACAGAGGATCAAAATTTTGATGGCATGTCTTCGGATCATCATCAGGGATGTTTCTACTGAGCAACTCTAGTGCGAAGTAATTAAAATACAACTTCATATTTTGCCTATTAGTCAAATGTCATGAAACTAAATGAACATTAATCTATTTTATTCTTCTCCTTTGCATACAAAAACCATGTAAAAATTATTACATAGAAAGAAGCGTACGTTATAATATTGCAACGAATTATTAAAACATGAATAATTAAAATCAGAAACAAAAAATTTGAAGAATTGAGCAATCCATTACATCTAAATTGGCTTCAGAAGGTATGCAAAATTCAACTCGTGTTTTCAATTTAGATGCTCGTAGCCATTTGCTCGTCGACTCAAACTACAGTGATTTGAGCAAATCAAGTCGCTCGTGTAGAGTTTCTATTTACTTTAGTGGTGACAGCTCGATCATTCAAGACTAATAAAGAAACATTGACAAGTCGCGACAAGCACTACTCCACAGGGAATAGCCAATCTATTATGCTTCCTATTCACTCAATGGCATATGAGTAATAAGTACTCAAGAAAAAGAAGTTACTCCAGAAAGGAAAAAAAAAAGATGCTCGAAAAGACGATCGTTTAACAAGACTATGAGGGAAGTCCTCAGGTTTTTTATTATAATTTTTTTCCCTATTCAATGCATAAGACAAGTCATATTTATTTAATAAATATACACACGTAGAAGTCTGGTCACCACAAGGGTGGGCCGTACGAGGGGGAAAGGGGGGCTTATGAAATGTAATTGCAGATCATTTACTCAACGACAAAATGCTCTAGAAATTGAAAGGAAAACAGGGGAGTTGATTCGCCAATCACAGCTATTTTCAAAATTGAAAAAGGAATAAAAAAAATAACACTGCTAACTAGATTTTTATTTATTTGTTTAATATCATTCTTTTTTTAATTAAATAATTTAGCAAACGATTGGCAAGGCCCCGCAGGTGTTCTAAGCCTGACTTCTGACGGGTTTCTGATATTGATGACTCCAAGGGGGAGGTTTTGACAGATGAAAACGGCAAAAAGAAAAGATTGAGTACGACTGTGTATATCGGGGAATTTTGATTATAATTTTTTTTGTTTGTTCTACTAAGATGTTTCTAACCTCGAGTCATTCTTTATTTTTTTATATGCGAGTGAAGAGGATTTATAGCCGTCTCGATGGATTAATGCGATTTGTTAGATAGATAGAGTTGGTATGCTTTCGCTGCATGTGCTTGCAATGATTAAACAGTCAGTAATGGATCTTTTCTTTTAATGCGTTTCCAAAGTCACGAGGTCAAGGAAATTATTCAGGTGTAGGTTGGAACTCGATTAAAATTGAAATTAAAAAAAGGGGGTTCGTGAAAAATCGTAACACTTTGTTGAAAGAAAATGCTCTCATTGTTTGCTACTTGTAACTTCATGTGATGAATGATTTTGATGAATTTATCCAATTTATTATTTATTTTTTCAATAAAAAGATAAAGGAATAACGTTAAAGAAACGTTGTGAGAAATGAGTAATTTCCACACAACATTTATTCAAAGTTTTTATAATGTTTGGAAACTGAAGAGGATAACTGATGAAATTACGTGAAACAATAATGTTCAAAGTAATTGGCAAGCGTTTTCAATGCTGAAGACAAAATTTTATAAAGATGCAAACAACTATAGCCCTGAAATTCTAGAATATCTTTCTCTATTATACATTAAATAATTTGGGGATTTTTTTTTTTATGTTTGGAGACCAATGATGATAAACATTTTTAAAAGTCTAATACATTAAAATTTATAAGCAAATATAAAGTTAAGAAATTGATGAACTCAAAATGATTTTTAATGAAACAAAAACTTGAGAGGAAAAAAATCTACCTGATTATTTTTGCTATTTTTGTAATGTGTGATGACATAGATAAGAAATATATAAGTGTATGAAACTTTAAAATTCATGAAAATGTTATCCGAAACATGAAATGTTTGGACATATTTTAGCATTTGAAGACTAAAATTGTTAATCTTTGTAAATGATTGTAACATTAAAGCATAAAAATTTCATCCAATACTAAATATTCTTTTGTTTTTTAAATGCTAGAACATTAAAGCTTATAAACAATTTAAAATTGTAAAATGTGTAAAAAATTAAAATTTATAAGTCGAGAAAAACATTTAATGCTCAAAATGGAGCTTAGAACTTTAAATTATTCGAATATAATAAAAATTCTGTCCATATTCAATCTTTGTTTCAAGACGAGGAAAACTGTCTGGAACCTTAAAATGTAAAAACTTGAATTATAATTATTATTTTTTTCCCTTTTTCACAGTGTTATTATTAAACTCAACATAAATTAATGCTAATTTAAATTTCTGTTTAGAAATTAGTTTCAGGACATTAAGAGCAACAAAACTGTTAAAACAGCAAACTTGCTCCGTTGATTTGCAAACTTTTAATTCCGTGGACCCGGATGTAAGAAGATCATTTTATATACTTCATCTGCAACAGTAACTAGATTCATAAATTTAAAGATAATCCATCTACCACATGAGAAAAGCTTTATGCTGTAGTTGAAAGCTCTTTCCCACTATTGTTTACGATTCTGCGTCCACGCAAGGGATGCCGGCCTCTTAGGAACACTGTCATTACACGATTCCATAAATTGGGCAGAATGCGATTTTGATTGTTGACTATAGGATGAAGGGGTTAGTAAGCTATTTTCCCCTGAAATTTTCGCACGCGTATATCACGTGATAGATTATGTTATGCTATTAGGAAAATGTTGTATGGAGGACTCATATGCAATAAATCATTTAACGTAAGTACGTCACTCCCATTAAATGAACAATTATTGACTAATATCAAAATTATTGAAATAAACTCATGGTTCAAAAAATATTGAAAACATTTTTAAAAAATGCTGAAAAAAACTAAAATGCTGCTTAGGTGGTGCAAAAGCTAAAAGAGAAAAAGTTAAACTAAAACTTTTAACAGTATGCGTACTCAAGGCGACGAAGAAAAAAAAAGTGAGCATTAAACTAAGCCGGGAATGAGTATCAACGAGGAAAAATTTTTAGTTCGATTCGCCGTTATGGAACCCTTATTTATCTAAAAATTACATGACAAGAAAGTAAGGTTGGCAAGGTTTTGGGGTACAATGGTCAAATCTAGGTTAAAAATCACCTATAAAAATTACCGTTATATCCAAAACCCATCAGCCAACATTTTAAAACTTTTTTTTGTCCATAATTTAAATTTCTGAAAATTTCATTTAAGCAATACAAAAAAATTATAAAATTAGCAATGAACTATACAAAAAAACGACTTATTTATTTATTTTATTAAAAATTTACTAAAAGTCTACTAAAATGAGTTACTAAGAATGGCTAATGAAATGGTGGTTTTATTTATTTAATTAATTTTTCTTTAACTGTCGAAAATAAAGTACTCTAGAATAGTTTTATGTGAACTATTATAAATAGTTGAGAAATTGATTAAATAAACTGTAGCTTTAGCTGGAGGTCTTGTTTTAGTATTATAATCATATATAGAGAAAAAAATGGAATAGCTGCTTTCGTTTAAATTATTTTAAAGTATAATAAGCTTTAAACACAAAGTTTTCAACAGACATTATTTTAATTCAGGCAATATATTGTTGATATATTTAAAAAAATTTAAAATTCCTTAAAGCTAAAATAGCTAAGCTAAAAAACACGTAATGGTTAAAAACTGAATTATGAGAATATGATTAAAGAGTTAGTTAAAACAAGTTATTTAAAGAAAGAAAATTAGAGAATCTTCCGAAGATCGATGAGGAATCGATATTCTTTCCTATTCCAAATTATATCGTAAGGAAAATTTATTAATTACATTTAATACCAAATAACCATTAATCATGAGTTTATTAGTCAAATTATCGAATAACTTATTTCGAAAAATAGTAGCGCGCATTCCTCGTCTGACTAAACAAAGTTCCATTTCTGGAGTTAAAAGGCCGCTGACTCATTAAGCGAGAGAAATCGCGAATTAAATAGTGAGCTGCCATTAAAGGCAA